TCATGACAATAACCTCTTCCTCCCCCCGGCTACATATTGCAGCGCCGCCCTGCCCCTCTCTCAGTTCCTTCCCACTGAACACCTGTACCTGAGTAGATGCAGCAGGGTCTTCCACTTAGGTGGCTCACAAGCAGTACCCCCCAAGAGGTGCAGCTTGGAGTCTACCTAAACAAGGACTGCAGGACCGTTCTACCAAAGCTTGCATCTGCCATGGAAATGGAGTTATGGCATAATGGTTCAGGAACGTATGTATTGGCGACCATATAGCAGCCCTGCAGATGTCCAATATGGAAGCGTCACTGAGGAATGCTATGGATGTAGCTTGCACCCTCGTAGAATGAGGTCAGGCCCCGCCAAGGGGGTGCAGCTGAGGCTATTTCATATGCTATCTTGATGCAGGATGTTCTCCATTTGGAGATCATCTGCAAAGAGACCGTTTGACCCTGCATGCGGTCTGCATATGACACAAACAAATGAGGCGAAGCATGAAACGGTTTAGTCCTGTCCAGATAAAAGGCCTGACATTGCCTGACATCTAAGGTATGGAGATGCTGCTGAAGGTCCAGAGCAGCAAACCAGTCATTCTGAGACAACACTGGGAGGATAGTTAATAAGTGAACATTTGGAACCTCATGTACCTGATATATTTGTTGATGCCGTGAAGGTCGAGGATGAGTCTTACTCCTCACTTGGATTGGGTACCAGAAGTCATGACCCCGGTGTTCTAGTGGAACCTCCTCCTCCACTCCCAAAGCAGTATCTCATGAGAGGGATCCCTGAAGAGGGATGGGGAGGGAGGAACCGGATGGCATAATGTGATCTAACCATGCTTTGGACCCAGCTGTCTGTAGTGATTGAGACCCAAGCATTGTGAAAGCAGGCCAGCCTGTTCCCAAAGCAGGGGGATGAGGAGAGAGGAGCAACGACTGGAACAGTGCTGTGGACCAAGGAGTCAAAATGGGTACTTGAAAGGCGATGAGGAAGGCGCATGGATTAGCTGAACCCCAAGCCCGCCTGCTTTCTCCTGTGGCATCTATCAGTCTTTCTGGGGCAGTTCCATTGCCTTGGAGGAAGGAAAGGCTGGCCAAACGTGCACTGCAGATGACAGTGCTGCTGCTGGATGCCGTAGTGGCACTTCTGCGTTGTCGGCATGTACGCCCCCACCAACTGCAGGGTAGCCCTTGAGTCCTTGAAGGAGTGCAGTATTGAAGGGCAAATCTTCAATGGCTTGCTGGACATTGGTGCACTATCTGAATTCTGGAGCCAGGATGCTCTCCCCTTAGTGATCACAGAGGCCACCACACTGGTTGAGGTGTCAAAATCAAGCGCAGACTGCAAGGACATCTTAGCTATCAAGCAGCCTTCAGGGACAAATGCCCAAAATTCCTCCCACAAGGCCTCAGGCTAGCTGGTCTGCGAACTTTGACATAGCTGTCCAATTAACAAAATCTTACTTGGATAGCAAGACTTGTTGGTTAGCAGTTCACAACTGCACAGAAGAGGAGGTGTAAAACTTCCTGTCCATGATGTCCCTATCCTTGGGCCAGACTTAAACATTTCTGCTGGACTCTATCATTCACACTTACGTCTAGGGGATTCTGGGTCAGATGGGAGTAAAACCCCACAAATCCCTGCATGGGAACACAATAGTGCTTCTCCATGTGCTTAGCCGCACAATGTGAAGCCAGTGTGCTCCAGAGGCTTCAGATGGTTCAAGGAGCCCAGTGTTGATAGGGAGAGCGACTCTCCCAGGGGAAGATAGCTGTAAAATGTCCACCAATTTGTGGGTGTTCCCAAGGGAAGAAGCTACCTGCTGCAAAAGGTCTCGGTATGCCTTAAAATCTTCCAGTACTGAAGGGGAGGATGAGCCAGGCTGCACAGCATTGTCCAGAGATGAAGATGAGGCCCTTAATTGAGCCAGAGCTGTATCCTGCTCCAGGGTTGATGGATCTGGATGGGCGGACGCTGGAGGCTCTGCATGGAGAAGGACTATCAGTGCCTGGGCCTGTAGCAGATTGACAGTACCACCACAGACCTGGCCAGTTATCTTGCCTTTTTGAGTGAGATGAAGAGCGGGACCATTACAACTTAGGAGCATTCCACAGACTCCATGGAGGTCACCGTCATGGATAAGGCATTGGTGGCTAGAAGGTGCTGGGCTAGAGACCTCCGTCCCAACCATGAGATGCACGCCAATCCTGTATCTGTAACAGTCCATTAGCAGCCCTCAATGCTGGTCGGATGATGGAGAACAGGATAATGGCAACCCGGACTCAGATTCAGAAGAGCCTCGGGATCCCAGAGATAAGGGCAGAGCAAGACCAGAGGGAGGGAGCAGGCAGTCTGACTTGTCCATCGCCCAGAACAAGGCAGGAAGTGGCACTGCTGAGGGAAGTGGTACCGCTGGTACCGAGCATGCCGGTGCCAAAATCTGTCATGGTCCTGAAGTGAACAGCAGTACCAGGGTGTCTGATGGTACTGACCTCAAGGGTGGCAAAAGCCTCCACGGAAGCCTTTGTGGTTCTGACTGTAGTTTTGCCGAGTAAGTTCCCGGTACCAGCCCTACTTCCACAACCTGTGGAAGGGGAACATTGGGGTGCAGTGCCAACTGGCCTGAGTGTTCACCAGCTCATTCAATCAAAGGGGCTATAGTTGACACAGCCCTGGCAAAGTCCTGGTCCAAGGGAGAGGTTGGGACCAAAAGGTAGAGGAGGTCTGTAGCTGCCTGGTATGTCACCAATGTGGAAACGCTTGGTATTGGCATCTCCCTCATCAGTACAGAATTCAACGGATGCCTGGAGGCTGGAACCGGAGTCAAAAGTGGAGAGTTTCTAACCTCCCTACTAGGTACCGGGCAAGGGTTAGAAGTACCCTTGCCATCCCGGGTACCGGCACCCCATCTCTACAAGCCCATGCTTTTCCTGGGAGAGGCAGAAGAGTCACCCTGAGCGGTCTCGATTGGTCTTATGCAACCTTTGTCCTTGGTGCAGTCGTCGGCAAACGGCTCCTCCATTTCTTCAGAGAGGCACCCGCGCTGGAATCTGAAGCAGCTGTGCTCTTGGAACTCAAGGACGATCTCCAACCCAATGAGGTTCTCAGCACCGAAGCAGGTCACCTGGCCTGTTTGAGTAGGTGCCGCTTCAGGCAAAGGTCTCAAGCCACTTGAGTCCATTTCTTAAATAATCTGCACATCGCACAATGCTCCTTGACATGGGCCTTGCTGAGACAGAGCAAGCACCATGTGTGGGGATTCTGGTTGGGGATCACTCCCCACCCGGATGATCACATTTAAACCGCAGTGAAAGCATCACTGAGAGAAACAAACTACTAAACTAACACTACTCTAGCTAACCCTACAGGTACTACTAACTATACACAAGAGAAAAAACTGAGAAAAATTCTTAGATGATGTTTACTTGTGAGGTTGAGACCACGCGGTGCTCCGACTCCGGCCATAGGCAGTAAGACAGAACTGAAGGAGGGTTGGGGCAGTGCTGCTTCATGTAGCCAGGGGAGGGTCTGCGGCCATTAGGAGCAAGTGCCGCCCCTCTACAGGTAAATTTCTCTGGCTCCAGTGTGCTGTGCACACACACACCTGTGTGGAACACACGGCTGCATCGACTAGAACAATCAGTATTTTATCCGTGCAGTCCTAATTCATGAGGAAAACATTTAATATGGTTTACAGAAGTATGCATGGCCCAGCATTTCTATTCCTTCTTCACATAGCAAATTCAAATGTATTAGCATAGGCCTTGCAAACCTTTATTCACATTGCGCTTAGTAACATGAGGAATCCCTTGATGTGAAAGAAACTGTTCACGTTAGTAAGAATTTGCAGGATTCAGTCTGTAGTTTAAAACGTCTGCCTTAGGGCATGGTACTAATTCAAAGTCTGTGTATGACTGAGACTGCAAAGACCTATGTGCATATTCTCCTACGTAATCTCTACAGGACGTACCTTGAATGGAAAAACCTACTTTCCCTCTCCCCTTCCATAATCCAGAGCAACAGCAACAAATCTGTGGGTGGTTTATCCAAAGTATGCTAAAATTCTATTGGTTGTTTTTTTTCTTAGATGCTGTTTACTTACCCCCACTCTTACAATATCTTTTAATAATATTAATTGCATGTGGGGAGATACACCTCCAGAAACTATTATAAATAGTTCTTTATTATCATTATTTGTATTGCAGTAGCACTTAGCACAATGGGGCACCGGCCTCTAGGTAGCATAAAAACTTAACAAAGGGACAGTCCAAGTCCAAAAGAACTTAGATGTGATTGATTGATTTTTTTTTTATAGGTCTGCTCATCTCACATGTGGGTCAGGGACTTTTAATCATTATATACATGGCAAATAAAAGGGCCTGCCTAGACACAAGTCAGCTTATGTGCAATTACATATGGTAACTGTTCAAATTGAACTTTGAAAATCCATATCAATTTAAGAAAATGGGTTCTTCTTCACATAACTTAGTAGAGGTTCCCTGTCACTGATACAGGGTTAAATAAAATGGTTGGTGGGGTTTTTTTTTATAGTTTTGTAAGGATTGTTTTGGCTCATGGAAAAAACCTAGACCGCATTCTACTTTCATTTACACCAGTGAAAACCTGCAAATCTCCACTAAAGTCAGCAGTGTTATTCTGGATTTACTTTGGGGCAAGAACAGAATTTGTGTCTCTGATTTGGTAACTGCAGAGATTTTTTAATAGAAGTAACAAATCCCACCACCATGTAGGATTTTGCTGAATCAGGCTTCCATTTCCCTCTTTTGATATTATCTAAAAATCATGTCTATAGTGGTCACCATTTAAAAATCAACATTTCCTAGCAGATACCACACAGTTATTACAATTGTTTCCTTTTCCAGGGAAAAACTGTGGCATCTCAGTTACCACTGTACCTGACCTGTACCTGACACATGCTGATTTTTTTTAATGATGACTAGATATTAAAAGCGAGATGAAAATCAATAATTTGTCTTTTCTCATTGTAGTTGGTCTCCAGTCAGGTACTGATGCAAATGAGTCCATTGAACAAATAGATGAAGATATAGCAGTGACTCAAAGTCAGATGAACTTTACTTGTCCTATCACACAGGTATGCTATTACTAGGACTGTAGTAGATAAATATTTCCCATCTTTAATTACTTCCCTGCATCTTCATAGCCATTATAATCCTATTCACATTCCTACCTACATAACATACTTGTTAGCTATATATGTATATTGATTTTTTAGAGACCAGATAATGGCAGTTGCTAATATGATCATAATTGGGTCATGCTGCTGAAATAAAACCTCACAGGAATAATGCAGTTTACCATGTGGGGCCTGATCCTGTAATTTGAGTAGTACAGCATATGGACCACGGGACTTCCTGCTGCTTTAAGCAAGAGACTTTCATGTGTGGGGCTTGGAGTTTAATTATATTTTGTTGCCAGAGGACAGTATTGCTTCCAGATGATAACACCTGTCTAACATATGGGGGCCTGGATAGTTGTGAAAGTTAAACTTGATTGTAATAATAGCTAGAGAGAAGGAAGGGCGATACCTACAACCTGTGTTCTATACAGTGGGGTGCAAGATAGTTGGGAATTTTCTGTCAGAATGATTTTCTGTTTGAAAAATGCTCTTTTTTGCAAAATCCAAAATTTTCCATTGGGAAAATCAAAATGACAGCTGCCCATCCAGAAGGTCGTTGCCAATTTCATTTTCAAACAGAATGCAGAATTTTTCTGTAAATCCGTTCCCACCAAAAACATTGCGTTTTTTGTCTTTTTGTCCTGTCTTGGGATGATTTTTTTTTTTTTTCAAAAATTAGGTTGTTTTTTCTTGGTTTTTTTTTTTTTCAAGTAGTTGATTTCCTTTTACCAGTCAGCTCTAACTGGGGCTGTTAGCAACATCCCACGACAGGTCTGAGAATGTATTCAAGTTGATCATTAGTTCTGTTAAATACAGTCATATTGATTGCAGGTGGAAATGCAGAAGCCAGTTCGAAATAAAGTCTGTGGCCATACCTACGAAGAACAAGCCATTCTAAAAATTATACAGCGTCGAGAACAGCAAAAGAAAAAGGCATGGTAAGCTAGCAAGAATGTGGGGGAGGGAGAGGGGCGAATACTTGGCTTGCTGTGTAGGTGGAATCGTATTCTACTTGTTCTATGAAATTTATTTGTGTTGGCAAGGCTGAAGGAAGTAATTTTTAAATGTCTGCCCCAAATCAGACTCATAATTAGTACTGTGCACATGGAGGATACTTTTTAAAAAAAATAAATAAAAACAATATTTAAGGAAACCTTCAGGAAGTGTATGGGGAAGTAAGAGCCATTCACTGTCCCTGCATAACAAAATAACAGAGATCTAGTACAGTCATTAACAATACAGAGACATTTTAACATCTTAAAGTTGCTAGTTCATTTTTTTTCTTACCTTGTGTTTTTTAAAACTGTCAAAGTTGATGTAAAAAATAAAATAACTCCTTTGCAAATGGAAGGGAAAAGATACTACTGCCCTCCCTTTTATAGCTTCTATATCATACTACAATAAGAAAAAGGAACTAATACAGACAATTATAAATCCCTAGATAAAGGGAAGAATGTTCAGCCAGAAAAATAAGCTGTACAGTCCCTTCCATAATTCAGGAAAACACGTTTTACTATAGATAACCATAGGCAATACTACCAGCATTAAGGTTGCCTGTCACTTTCCATAAAAAGACCCTATTTTCAGCTGCTTATAACTTTGTTAAATTTAGGGCATACATTTTTCCATGCCGGGTGTCTAGCTCAGGCAGTTGCTGCTGCTGTTATTATTGGTGTTTAATTTCAGCATAAAGGTGTCAGCCATTTGTGAATGAGATATGGAAATATGGATGAATTTGCCTATGTTTAAAACCTACATTCTCTGTCATATGGTGAGAAGCAGGGACATGATATTTGGCAGTGGGGTCACCGTGATGTCGATGAGAGACTGATTTTCACCAAGCAGCACATGTTGGCCAAGTTATAAGCCTCTGAAAATGTTGCAGTTTTGCACATGCTCAGGAGAGGTTTGTAAGAGGTTGATGGCATTATTCTCCAAAGAGTTTATCTGCACTGAACATATGTAAGCTGCACACAGCTCCCGCGTGATGACTGGCTGCTCGTGCCCCATCCCCACAGTGACTGTGCATGCACCATCCCAGGACTGCAAAAGCTGAGTAGGACTTTGCCTGAAATTGTTCTTCCTGACTTCAGGAAAGTTGCTGTTGTGCTAGCCACTCAGATGGATAACAGGGAGAAAGCAATCTGACTCGAATGCAAATGGGTGAAGGGAGATGGGCGCTCTGGGAGCGATAGAGGTCAGAGGGGTGGGGGAGGCTGAGGCACAGAAGCTGGGTTGGGGGATAGGAACAAAGCGGGACAGCAGTTGGGAGGTGGAAAGAAGAGCCAAAAGAGGCAGCAACAGGAGCCAAAGGGTGGGAGCAAAGGGGAACAGGAACAGGCTGTGGGGATGGGGCGGAACAGCCTATAACCACTAGACACACTCCCCACCAGAACCTGGAGATGAACAAAATAGTATCAAGTCTCAACATTCCTCTGCTGTCAGTATTAGCAGTGAAATCCACTAGAAAAATGAGTCTCTTCCTCCTCCAGAGGATGGTCCATATGGACAATAATATCCTGCTTCTCAGATAGGTCAAGTCACAGAGGTTGGTGCTGTGAATCTAAAGGTTCTAATCTTGCTGATGACCCACACGGGAGTCAGTATGCTTCCACATGATAGAATCTGTTTTTTCCGTTTGCTTTTTAAGAAACTAAGGAAATTACATGGAAACACACACTCCTATATTAAGGTTGCCAAGTCAAGCACTTAAAATTTAGAAAATGCCAGAATTCAAATTGCACTTCTGGCATTTCCTAACTTTTTTAACTTTTTGTTAAGGCAAAGTTAAAATAAAACTTTAACGTACTACATTAAAGTACATTAAAGTACATTGTACCTTACTTATTCAGTATCAGGTTACTATTCAAAGAACATGGGTAAAGATTCTGGCTTGCCAGCTTGGGAGCCCTCCTCCTCTGAGTACACTAGAAAGAGTGACCAAATTTCTAAATACCTATCCTCTTTTTGGCACTTCTTTTCTATGTACTTGGTATGGAAGCTTTTCCATTACAAGAACAGTCCATATTTTATTGTAGCCCGTTCCATAGGAGATGGAGTCACATTTTTCCAATAACGTGAAATACAGAGTCTACCTGTTAGACCGATACATTAATTTATTTTTTATTGCTTTTTAAAATGCAGATCCTTTGCTGGAGCACTGAGTAAGCAGGTCAGGGGATCTCTTGGAAGCCAGCATTTTGTCATAAGATGAATCTCTTTAATAATTTTCTCCAAAAAAACAACTAATTTCTGGACACCACTACCACATGATCAAGTATGTTCCCCTTTTCCGGCAACCCTCCAACAGAACACCGCCCTACTAACAAAAACATGATGGATCTTAACTAGAGTCAAATGCCATCTATACAATAATTTATACATTTTTCTTTGAGCTACACAAATTGAAGATGTATATCCCCTTTCCCATAAAGAAACCTAATCAAGGTCAGTTTCTTTGTCCAAATCCCTCAACATCTTTTTCAATCAAAACTGTGTATATCTTATAAATTTAAACCTTTGTTTCCAGCTTTCTCCTGGGTCAACTCCCCACATGTGGTTAAAGGTCTTGAGAGTCTCCTCATGTCCAGATTTCACAATAAAATGTTTGACTTGTAACTATTGAAAACACAGGACCTTTGTATTTACATTATTACCTTGGTGTGACTTCAGATCAGGACCCAGAAACAGCTGTCTGAATTGAGAAATCTCAGCGCTTACCCACAATGAATGGTCACTTTCATATTTTCTAGGTATGAATTCCCAATAGGAAATGGCACATTAACAAACTTTTGAGTGCTTGACCTGCAACCTTAACATTGTTTAATGTAGGGGGTATTTTTGATGTAATCCTATAGTATGTTAGAAATGCACATGACCGCAATAACAGGGTTTTGCTCTAATTAAATTTAGAAAGGTCAGTTAGGCATGCTACATGTAGCTCTAAGTTCTGCGTATATCTGTCTGTTAAAGTGAGCTGAGTTGCTGGGTAATTAACATTTATTCTGGAAATACAGAATGGGTTTTTGAAATGCCACAACCTGCTAGGTCTATAGAAACCATTCAGTCCTACCCTCTCAAGCTCCCAGCTGGAGTAAACCATTTTCTATTGTGCTGCTACATGATTGCATTCTTCACAGCAGTGTTCGAGTGGGAGCAAACATTCTTAACGTGGTTTAAAGACAAAACCTGGTCTGTCGGGTAAAGCCCAATTTAATGCACTTTGTCAGGGAGATGAATATGTAGCGGAGGGAACAGGGTGAGGAACGGAGTCCTCTCCCCATCCTCATCCTAGAGCTACAGCCATTGCTATAGGCAAAGCGATGTAGTACTTGCTACAGCAAGCTGCATACTCTTCTTTCCTCAGGGCCTGTAGAGTTGATTGCTGGACTTCACAGACCATTGGCTGTCTCTCAGCCACTCACCTGGCCTGTCTGCAGCCTCCACCTTCTGTGCTCCCACAAAGAAACCTGCTAAGCAGCTGAGCTCCACTGCACCTTAGGGGACTGCTGCCTACTGCTGTGTGGCTTTCCCAACACCTTGCACTGAGCCTTCCACAGCCTGGGAGAATTTCATGCACTGGTCACAGTGGTGCTAACACTTACAGGAAGTGTTTTATATGAGGCTTTCAAGGCACTTGATAAACATTAATTAAGCCTTGCAACACCTCTATCAGACAGATAATTATTATTCTAACCAGTTTATAGATTGAAAAACTGAGGCACAGAGCGATTAAGTGATTTGCCCAAGGCAGACGCTGCAAGCTAGGGACAAAATCTGGAATAGAAGCGATGAGAGCTGACTCTACATTCCAAGTCCTAGACAAAATTCCTTCTCAAAAAGAAACTAGGTTCCAAAATCCACAAATGTTTTAACTGGGGGCATTATCCATACACATCTGGCTCCATTAGCAAGGGAAAAAGATACCCCATCCCTGAATATCTTTCACTGTAGAAGGAATATGACTTTACCTGTCTACCTGCAGCCAAGTATCAAACTCTGTATTTGTCCTATTTTTAGAGATCACTAATATGACACATAATCCTCTCTCCCTCCGTTCTTGTGAGGACTCATGATTTTTCATAACCCTAGCTCTTCCACTGACTCACTTGGTGGCTCTGGGAAAGTCACTTAACCTCTTTAATCTGTTTCCCTGTCTATATAATGAGGATAATACTTATTCACCATAGATTGGTGGGGGGAGAATACAGTGCTTTGAAGATGTAAAGCAATATACAAGGATTACAGTAAGTAACTGTATTATTAGTAACACAAGCAACTCGCATTGGATTTAAGACAGTGGTCAACAGGTAAAAGTCTCTATATCTCATTACACTCCTTCCCTTGAGACATCAGCTCCCACCTATTAAGATAATTAGACTTTTTTCCCCAACAGAGATTTATTATCCATCAAGGAAAAGCTGCAGTAAGTCACTGACAAAGTTACTCTGTGGGGCGGGTGGGAATTAAATATAAAACAACAAATGCTACATTCAGATGACTAATATAATTCTTCTGATTTATTTATTTTTCTTTTTAACAGCTGCCCTAAAATTGGCTGTAGCCATTTAGATGTTAAGAGATCAGATCTTGTGCCAGATGAAGCACTTAAAAGAGCGATTGACAGTCAGAATAAACAAACCCGACCAATGCCGTAGAAGTCAGCTGGACACACTGTTACCACAAAGAAAATTTGTTATTGGAGGTCTTGTGAGATAAGCTGCTGATTGTAAGCAGGTTGTGTAACTGATTGTTATTTGAAGGCAAAGTTGAAGGTGTCAGCTATAACTGAAAGCATTTCTTAGACTGCCAAGTGTGAAGCATTCCAGGTTAACTTGTTTGTTTTTCTTCCGCAACCTCTAAAATGTTGCGTTTTGTAAATAAAATGTATGTGCAAAATGTAACCTTCTTTGTCGGTAGTGTGCTCATTTTCAAAGCATTCTAAAGATATCAGTTTAGGTCCCAACCTGCAAAATGCTTGCTACTGCGTGCACTGTTTCCTACTGCGAGCCATCCCAGTGAGAAGTCTGTCGTCGCTTGAGCTACTCGTGGTAGGAGGCACTGTGACCAAGATTTTCAAAGTGACATGATCTGGGGTGCCTCTATTTTTGGATGTCCAAAACAAGACCTTTTAAGGGAGCCTGATTTTCAGAAAGTGCTGAGCATCTGGATCTCATGTTTGGGAATGCAAAATCATTAGTTACTTTTGAAAGTATTGGTCTATGTCCAGTATTAATCACAGGTCCTGGCCCTTAATCACATTGTACTTATATTCAAAATCTTTTATTTCAGACTTTATGAATTTGGAATTCCCAAGGGGGTTCACATTGATATTTTAGGTGAGAAGAATTGTCTTATTTATAAACCTCTTTAGTTCATTAACCTTATGTATAATAACAATACAAATATTATAGGATACCTGCATACCTTGAGTTGCAAAGACTGAGTTGCAAGAGGTTGAGGAAACTGGAGTTATTTAGTCTGCAGAAGAGAAGAGTGAGGGGGAGATTTGATAGCAGCCTTCAACTACCTGAAGGGGGTTCCAGAGAGGATGCTGACTGTTTTCAGTGGTGGCAGATGACAGAACGAGGAGCAATGGTCTCAAGTTGCTGGGGGAGGTCTAGGTTGGATATTAGGAAACACTATTTCACTAGGAGGGTGGTGAAGCACTGGAATGGGTTACCTAGGGAGGTGGTGGAATCTCTCTCCTTAGAGGTTTTTAAGACCTGGCTTGACAAAGCCCTGGCTGGGATGATTTAGTTGGGGTTGGTTCTGCTTTGAGCAGGGGGTTGGACTAGATGACTTCTTGAGGTCGCTTCCAACCCTGATATTCTATGATTCTATAATAACAACAAGTTTCATGCATGCACTGTTACTGTTGCTATAAGCGCTACTTCATTAGACCTTTATTAACCCAATTTATACTTAGCGTATAGGCCACATTAAACTAACATGCAGTTTTGTAATTGTTAAACTATAAAAAGAAAAGGAGTACTTGTGGCACCTTAGAGACTAACCAATTTATTTGAGCATGAGCTTTCGTGAGCTACAGCTCACTTCATCAGATGCATACCGTGGAAACTGCAGCAGACTTTATATACACACTGAGAATATGAAACAATACCTCCTCCCACCCCACTGTCCTGCTGGTAATAGCTTATCTAAAGTGATCAACAGGTGGGCCATTTCCAGCACAAATCCAGGTTTTCTCACCCTCCACCCCCCCACACAAATTCACTCTCCTGCTGGTGCTAGCCCATCCAAAGTGTCACTTTGTGCTGGAAATGGCCCACCTGTTGATCACTTTAGATAAGCTATTACCAGCAGGACAGTGGGGTGGGAGGAGGTATTGTTTCATATTCTCAGTGTGTATATAAAGTCTGCTGCAGTTTCCACGGTATGCATCTGATGAAGTGAGCTGTAGCTCACGAAAGCTCATGCTCAAATAAATTGGTTAGTCTCTAAGGTGCCACAAGTACTCCTTTTCTTTTTGCGAATACAGACTAACACGGCTGTTCCTCTGAAACCTGTTAAACTATAGTTTTTAAAAACATGGGGAGGAGGATGTCTTGAATTGCCTTACGTTTTTCCTTTCATCTTCAAGTCTGCTTAGATTTACTCCAACACTTTTTTAAATAAAACCCCAAAATCTGTGAGAAACACTGTTGGAAAAATCTCTCGCAGCTTTTGATTCAATTGCACTAATACTGCACTTCCTGGGCCAAATTTTACCCTTGTGTTTAATCAGGCCTACCCAGCAATTAAATACCTGCAGCGAGCCTGTGTCAGCTGACTCGGGCTGTAGGGCTGTCAAATTGGTGTGTAGATGTTTGGGCTTAAGTAGGAGCCTGAGCTCTGGGACCCTGTGTGGCAGGGGAGGGTCCCTGAGCCCACACTTCAGTCCAAGCCCGAATGTCTACACAGCAATTTTCAGCCCCGTAGTCTGAGCTCTGCAAGCCAAAGTCAGCTGATCTGTGTCAGCCGCATCAGTATTGTGGGTCTTTCATTCCAGTGTAAGTGCACCCCGTCAGTATGTCTACACTGCGAAACAAATCCCGAGGCAGCAAATCTCAGAGCCCAGGTCAACTGACTCAGGCTCACATTACGGGGCTACAAGTAGCACTGTAGATGATCCCACTCGGGCTGGAGCCCAGGCTTTGAAACCCAGGGAGAGGGGAGGGTCTCAGAGGCTGGAAGGTCTACACTACTCGTTTTAGCCCGGTAATGCAAGCCCTGCGAGTCCAAGCAGGCTGACCTGGGCTCTGAGACTCACCGCTGTGGTTTTTTGCAGTGTAGATGTATCCTGTGTTTTCAGCTGCAAAATTGTGGCACCAGTAATTTTGATCACTAAGATGTCAGGGTGCTTGAATGTGTCTGCAAATAAGGAATTTGGACATATAAGGGAGATAAATACATGTGCACAATTGTATGCAGAGTGATATGTACCTGCAAAATGGAAGACAGTTGCTGGACTGAACTAGCCCTATTGTTCTCGGCAGCCTGATCCAGTTTGCTATAGGTTGGGGTTCAGATTAATATATTCTCAGATAGCTACATGTGGATATTCCTGAAGTTCATTATCCTTGCATTCCTATGAGCGATGCTAGACGAGAGATTGCTTTCTTGGACATGTTTGTTTACCATATTTTAAGAGTTAGGGCTTGATCCTGAGACCAAGTTGGAGGGTTTTAATTGGAGCTGCAGGTGCTCAGCATATCTCTGAATCAGGCACTTTGCGTATATGTACCCAGGCTCTAGTAATTAAAGTTCCTGGGTAAGTTAGTAAAGATATGAGAAATACCAAGCAACCCTGAAGTTCAATATTATAAGGAAAAGGAAAGCAAGTAGGTCAGCACCCAGATCACTTTATGCAATAAGTGGAAAGTATTCTTTGAATGTTCACATTCCTGTCTCACAATAAATGATTTTTCCTTCCTTTCTTCCCTATCTTGGGTTAGGCAATGTCTATGAAGTCCTGAAACTTGAATAGCAAGTTCAGCCTGTAAACTCTAAAATCCTTTTACTCTTTGAAGGAAAGAAATTTAACAGTTTGGCAGAAGATACCTGCCTTACTTTAATAGCAATTACATATGATGTCTGAAGCATCATTTAAATTGCGGCTGGTTTCTTTTATAATCAGAGAGATCTTTTTTGAGAATGTCCAGGACTTGTCCTATAAAGCCAGGACTTAAATAATTATGGGATCCTTCCAGATACATTATAGTATTTCTGATAATACTCATTTGTCAAGGTTCCTCCCCCACTCTGAACTCTAGGGTACAGATGTGGGGACCTGCATGAAAAAACCTCCTAAGCTTATCTTTACCAGCTTAGGTCAAAACTTCCCCAAGGTACAAAATATTCCACCCGTTGTCCTTGGACTGGCCGCTACCACCACCAAACTAATACTGGTTACTGGGGAAGAGCTGTTTGGACGCGTCCTTCCCCCCAAAATACTTCCCAAAACCTTGCACCCCACTTCCTGGACAAGGTTTGGTAAAAAGCCTCACAATTTGCCTAGGTGACTACAGACCCAGACCCTTGGATCTTAAGAACAATGAACAATCCTCCCAACACTTGCACCCCCCCCCTTTCCTGGGAAATGTTGGATAAAAAGCCTCACCAATTTGCATAGGTGACCACAGACCCAAACCCTTGGATCTGAGAACAATGAAAAAGCATTCAGTTTCTTACAAGAAGACTTTTAATAAAAATAGAAGTAAATAGAAGTAAAGAAATCCCCCCTGTAAAATCAGGATGGTAGATATCTTACAGGGTAATTAGATTCAAAAACATAGAGAACCCCTCTAGGCAAAACCTTAAGTTACAAAAAAGATACACAGACAGAAATAGTTATTCTATTCAGCACAATTCTTTTCTCAGCCATTTAAAGAAATCATAATCTAACACGTACCTAGCTAGATTACTTACTAAAAGTTCTAAGACTCCATTCCTGGTCTATCCCCGACAAAGACAGACTATAGACAGACACACAGACCCTTTGTTTCTCTCCCTCCTCCCAGCTTTTGAAAGTATCTTGTCTCCTCGTTGGTCATTTTGGTCAGGTGCCAGCGAGGTTACCTTTAGCTTCTTAACCCTTTACAGGTAAGAGGAGCTTTCCCCTGGCCAGGAGGGATTTCAAAGGGGTTTACCCTTCCCTTTATATTTATGACATCATTAAATAAATCCCATAGAAATCACTGATATATAGCATAGGATTTTCAATTGCCTAAAGCAGATTAACTGCATAGAGTGCAGTCCTTGAACAAACTCTATCATTACAAATGCATGGAACAGCTATTGGCCTCAGTGTTCCCACCGGTCAGCTTATTGGAGTTGAGATGAGCAGGGCCAAGAGTAGACCTTTGCCCTTTTTGCGATAGAATGGATGGCTCTTTATTAATAAGTTTTACTAAAAACGATTTACCAATTGATACTGAAGTATTGAGCGTCCAATCCTCAGCTACCATTGACGTGCAGCAGCCGTGTTAGTCTGTATTCACAAAAAGAAAAGGAGTACTAGTGGCACCTTAGAGACTAACCAATTTATCTGAGCATGAGCTTTCGTGAGCTACAGCTCACTTCATCAGATGCATTCAGTGGAAAATACAGTGAGGAGATTTATATACACACAGAACATGAAAAAATGGGTGTTATCATACACACTGTAAGGAGAGTGATCACTTAAGATGAGCTATTACCAGCAGGAGAGCGGGGGGGGGGGAGGAGAAAACCTTTTGTAGAGATAATCAAGGTGGGCCATTTCTAGCAGTTAACAGGAACGTCTGAGGAACAGTGGGAGGTGCGGGGCAGAAATAAACATGGGGGTAATAGTTTTACTTTGTGTAATGACCCATCCACTCCCAGTCTCTATTCAAGCCTAAATTAATTGTATCCAGTTTGA